TTATAGTATAAGGAATTATTCGATGGTAAGATTTTTATATTCTTCATGAGGTGAAAACTATTCTTTGGTCATTGAAAACACAAAGGTATAAAAACATGTCAGAATAATTGTGGCTGTGTCTTAATATGCACCCCTTTAATGAGCAATTTCTATTACTCTTTAAGTGTTTTGTTTTTGTTTTAGTCACTTCTCTATTGCTTGGACAAATTATCTGACACCTGCAACTTAAAGGAGGGGAAGTTTATTTTGGCTCATGGTTTCAGAGGATTCAGTCCATGGTTAGCTGGCTCCAAGGCAGAAATGACCATGGTGGAGGAGAGTTTCTCGCCCCATTGCACCAAGGAAGGAGAGGGGAGGGATGAGCAGAGACAGGAATACACCTTCCAGCTCACAGCCCCAGGAAACTTCTCCTTCCAGGGCCCATCTCTGAACATGAAACTCTGGAGGGACATTTTATATCTACACCAGAACAACTTTCTTAAGTGAAAGGGAAAAGAGACTGAGGAAAAATGTCTTCCATGTGTGGTTTAGTCTTTCTGTTTTGGTATTCCTCTTCGCTTTAGTTTTTTCCACCATAATTATATTTTAAACTATTGACTCAGAATATGAAGTTTAGATCATTTTTCTGGCACCCTCATCAAAAGTGATTCTCTCTTGCTGAGCCTAAATTCTCTCTGTGAGTCCTCATGTTCAGATGAGAAGAAGACCCGAAGTCGTTATAGCCTAGAAAAGAGTATTTGAGTTAGGGTGGAGACTGGTTTTCTATAAAGCTTTTAAACTTACAGCACAAAGCTAGAGAAATGAAGGAAATGACTTTGAAAATTATCCTGCCATATATAGAGAGCATTATTAGCATAAAAGGTGACAAAATGGACTGTAAGTTTTTCTTCTAGGCAAAGAAGAGCACTCATGATACACATTATCATGTGTCATCTTAGGTATGGAGAAAGAGAATTGACACTGTCTCCCCATCACGTAGATTCTGCATAATGGAAAGGGAGAGAAGTGCTCAGCCCTGAGCTCCCATGTTCTAGGGGAAGTTGCTCCATGAGGTTCTCTTTATAAATTAAGATACCACAGTTTGTGTGAGCTCACTGTGTCCAAATCTGTTAAGAATCTTCTCACGTTCTCTCACAAAAGGGTTGTCATTAACTTTTTTTGTTTGTTTGCTTTTACTCCATTTGTACTCTTTGGCATACACTCTAATTCTATACACCTTTTTTGGGGGAGGGTGCTGGGGATCAAACTCAGGTCCTTGTGCTTGTGGGGCAGGCAATGGAACCACTGAACTAAATCCCCAGCCCTACACTCTAATTCTAGGCTTATGTACCTAAATCCAACGTCTTCCTCACTAAAAGGTCTTAGCATATTTTTGTGGGTAAAGAACCTGAAGTCTAATGTCCCAAGTTCAAGTCCAGAGCCATGACGTCAGCAGGTGTAGCACTTTGGACTAACCTTTCTGTGGCATATTCTCTCCACTTAAAAATATTAATAATGATAGCTACTTTATTGTTTCTTTGACTATGAAATGGAGGTGAAGACATGAAAATATTTTAGAAAGTCCTACTGCAACGGGTAGTGTTGTTGTTCTTATATTACCATTTAAAAAGTATTAATAGCAGTAATCAAATTCTCCTGGACCACCAATTCCTTTCAGATAGATGAACATGGATCAGAGAGGCAAACACTAAATGAATAAAAATGAGGACAGACAACTGGGAAGCCATAGCTGGCTGTCAATAGACCTGTGGACTCCTCTCTACCCCACAGTTTCTCTGGATCCAGCCCTTGGGAGCCTGGAGGGACGTCCTGCTGACCCCCAAACAGGACAGCCAGTGCCTCCTGTGGTGTTGGGTTCCAAGCCATCCTGTCACCTGGGCTGCAGCACAGGCAGCACGCCGGATGACCCCATACAACAAACCAGGGGACACTTTTTACTTAATTACTAGGTTTGAAGACTCTTAGAAATATCACTAGCCCTAGAAACCTGGTATTTCATAGGTTTTCCTTAAAGGGATGCTAACAAGTAGCTGTGTGCATGCTTTTGAAAGCTGGGTGCATTTAGTAGAAATTATTAAGTAAGGATGGAGCAGCTGATACTTACACATGGGCAGAATCACTTGGGGGCCTCTTGAGGGACTGGCTTCGGGGTAACGCAGTGGGAGTTGGCACAGGGAAGGACTTCTGGGTGCTGTGAGCCCCGGTTGAGGGGCCATAGAGGACACAGCCAGGCATCCAGGGTGTTACCACTCACTGTCCAAATGGGACTACGACAGGGGCCAGCAGGCCGAGGGCCCTTTATTCCTTTCAGTAGTGCTCCTTTCGGAAGAGTTCAAGCACCAAAATGCCCTTTATTTCTTCATTTACCCTTTAGAGGAACTGTGGGGCTGGAAAATTCAGTCCCTTTAGTGCCAACCTTTAATCAATTGTTTGTCAAATCTGAGTGGGTTATTCAAGTTTTATTCCTCCAATTTCTTTTGCAGAACACAACTATGGGGTCAGGTTCAATTCCTCGTGAATCCAGCTTTTTAAAATTTTGTTTACATGTTTTTTCTTCTTGATTTCATTTCTCCAGCAACTTTTGATATTATGTAAGCAATACAGCTAAGGTACCAAGCATTTAGGTTATGGAAGGGAGATGCTTTATGCATTGCCTCCCCAGCTTGGGCAGATGCCTTTGAACCTTCTCTGGGCCACTCCAGTGTCCTCCGGGTTCTGCTGAAACACACACCTGTTCTCTTCTCCACTTCTCTTTCCCTGATCTTTTTCTCAGCCCATTTGGACTCTGTTCCAGCATTACACTCCAATTCTGTGATCGTTCCCCTCAACCCATCCCCAGAGCCATGTTACAAAGTGGCACTGTGGGACAGTTCCTTGCCAGTGATGCTTGTTAGCATATTGGTGAGTGTCCTTGCTTTTCATGAAAACCCTTTCCAGAGTTTGACAAAGTAAAGGTGGCTGGTAACTTGCATTGTTGTAAACAATGATCGGTGCTCAGAAGATGTGGGAGTTGTCTGCCTACAGAACTAGTCAATTAAATTTAAAAACAGTACCAGGACTTCTTATGTCATCCTGCAGAAGTGTCCACATCTTGACTGCGCTTGTAGTAATGGAAATATTCTAGAACAGTTTCCCACCATTGCTGAAGCTGCCTCCTTCCTCATTTCTTCCATCTAAAATCTTATGCATAAAATAAAGTTAGGAGATAAGGAGCAGATTATTGCCAGAAACCTATGCAATAATATGACAGAAATCAAATCTCCTTAAGATCCATAGAGTTCCTCAAAACTGACCAAAGATATAACTCGGAGGAAAAAGTGAAAACAGCTAGCAAATATGAAAGATGCTCACCTTCCTGTATCACTAGACAAAAATCAAAACAAGTTGCCACCTTCTAGCTGCCCCCTGAGCTGAAATCAAAATATCTGAAAAACCCTAGGTTTAAAGAGTAGAAAATACGTGTTGTTAGAATTATGAATTGTGCAACTATCTGGATGGTGATTTGGCAAATATTAATGGAAATGTGAAATGCACATATACTTTGATCAGGAAATTGCACAAATATGCAAGGATGTATAATGTAATAGCCTTTATGGTGTTATTTATAAGTAGCTTCCACAAATAGCAGCCTCATTGATCCTCAGGAGAGTTCACTGTAATATCACGACTTACTGAGCCAGTGGGGTAGCATGCAGTCATGAAAAAGGTGTGTTCACTTATGGAAAAAGTGGGGAAATAAAATATGAAAGACTGAATAACATGAACTCATTTGATAAGAGGATGAGACATATACTTGTATGTGAATAAAAGTTCTTTGCAAAGATGCACTGGCAACAGTTAGCACTTAACTTTCGCAAGAGGACTGGAGAGCAGAGGTCTAGAGGGGAGAGAGAAAGAGAGGACTTTAATGACTTCAAATTGTTTAACTCTGAGTTTAGTTAAAACAACTCTGGGTGATAAATATTAGTGATTGAGGTGTGCTCAGAAACAATGAGTAAATGGTTTAGTTGGTGTCACTTCCATTTCTCTCGCTCAACCCACAGGCTTTTCCTTCCTGCTTTTCTGTTTTCTTTTTCCATGCTGGTGCTGGGGATCAAACAAAGGGCCTTCTGCCTATGAGGCAAGCACTGTACTCTGAGCTATATCCCCACCCCTTGGGGCGCTGTTTTTGAGAGAGAAAACAACTCTAGGGAAGTTCCCAAAGAAAAAGCAAAGACTTTGCCCAGTTCTAGAAATGAATAGCCATATGCTAAAAATTGAATAGGTTGGCTCAATTAACCTTTTTAAAATAACTCAGATAAAAGCATTGAAATTTGTTTCTGACTTCCTGGCCAGTTACTCCAATTGCCTATTGCACCTACAAGAAAATTGGTTATTCATTTTCTCTCCAGCTCGCTTCCTTTTAGCCCAGGGGACAGGTTGGGCTCACCTCCCAGCCTACTTTGACAATCTTCTCTGAAGTGGATTTGGCCTCCTTTAAGTAGCCCTGGACCTGCCTGGGTTACACCGGTCCCCAGGAAGTGTGTTTGCGTAGCTAGTTTGAGTTAGGGAAAGCATTGTATTTTCACCCCTCTTTTCTTCCAGTTGACCAGCATTTAAAATTTACCCAATAGCATTTTCTTTACTATTTTTTATAATTCTTAGAAAACTATTTAAAAGCTTGAACACTTCAGTTTTTACCTCAGGTAATGGTCCTACTGTGTCATTTTAACATTTAGCATATAATTTCATTTTTAATACTCCCCCTTCTTCTAGTATCACAGACTTGTCATCCAATTTACGCTTGAGGTCCTCTCCTCAGACGCTGGGGGTGTGGGACTCCCATCCAGAAGGGCTCCAAGACCAAGTGGCAGTTTTCCTACCAGCTTCTGTGCATGGTTGATTGGGATTTTTAAAAAACTTTCTTTTCTGTTTTTTGCTGCCAGCAAAGTTCTCCCTCTGCATTTTTTTTTCCACCTCCTAATATAAACTTCGTAGGAGTGACTGGCCTTTTCTTTCAGATGGAGATTACTTCACCTTCACAAGACATGAGCCCATTGGGGTGTGCGGACAGATCATCCCGGTGAGTGAACCCCGCGTGCCTCGGGTTTGTTTTCCTTTGACTCAGTTCTCCTGAAGACACGTGAATCAGGCAGGGTCCTGGGTGTGTGTGTTTTCCATTACTAAGGAGAAGAAAATGGAGCTCCTGTTGTTGACATATCTTCAACAGCCGCCCTTTAAGTGCTTATTTGAACAGGTTGACAGGGTTTCAGCTCCGTTACTAGGAGTTGAGTTCTCCAGTCGTGGAATTCTCCTGATTCAAATAAGCAAAGCAGAGCAAAGTGTATTAATAACCTGCCCTTGATTATGGATGGCTCTTTTGCTTGTAGAAAGCCGATTCTTTGTTGTATTTGCTTGTTTATTTTTTAGAACTGTGACTCACCATCTTTCCAGGCATATTATTTTACGTGGTCTTTTAATCTTACTCTTTCTCACCACTTCTTTTCACAAGATTCTTGATAGAAGATACTACAAAAGACACAGCAGTACAGTTAATGTCATGGTTATAATTGAAACCATGCCGGGCTGTTGTCTGCCTTGTAAAGGGAAATAGATGTTGTGCTTAGTGTTTGGATTGGAACATTAGACATTGTCCTTTGCTCCTTCCCTCACACATACCCTTGGCACCGTATAATACATCAGAGAATCTGCTAGCAGTACGAGCTAATAGTTCTAGTGAAGATTTCAAGGAGATGCTCACATTAAACTCTTACAGTAGAGATAAGATTTCTCTTTTCAAAATACAGGAGAATAACTGAAGATAATCTTTGGCTTGGGAGCTAAAGATTTGGGGAAGCTATTAATATTTATTCAAATGATTGCTAAGCCCTAGGCTACTATGAAATGTATTAGAGATTGGAAAGGGAAATGAGACATTTGGTTGTTGGAGTTTTTCTTCTCCTAACCCCAGGGGAACCCGCTTGGAGCTTCCCAGGGTAAGATCTGTCACCTTGTAGGGGACCCAGACTTGCTTTTCTGACAGGAGGAAGGTTGCTTGTCAGCCAGCTCTGGCTCAATTACCGCACTCCAAGATTTATACACTGCAGATGGAATTAAAACATCACTGAAGACTCCCAAGTTTATAAACAACCAGAGGGAAAAGAAATTGGGTGTTTGGTGAAGCCAAGACACTTGTATATTTTTGCAGGCTTGCCAGGGCCAGTGGGAACTCTTCGGGGCTGGCAGCTGAGATGCGTCAGGCTGAAACCCTGCGCTGGGAGGACAGGGATGGCTGCTTTCCTTCTATGAAATTATCAATGACACCTGATAGTGATGAGGCTCCTGCCTCAGGTTATGACAGCACAAGCTCAGTGTCCTCTCGAGTCAGTTTAAACAATTTTAGGCCCTGAATTCATACACTCACATAAATATATTTTAGTTTCATTAACCTATTTTGCAGTAGGAAGGGCACAGATTAAAAATTTTGCATTCTCATCTGTAGATATTTAGTTTTTGGAATACTGTGTGTTTTGTGACCATATGTATGAGAAAAGGTGCTAGAGTACCTTGAAGTACACATTGAAATAAATATAATGTACAGCTAGAATTTTCTTTTTTAATTCTTCCACAGTTGAACAGCTTTCACACCAAATAGAAAAAAATCCTGCTGTAAAAACCCCAAATTCAAGAAAATTTTTTCACACATAAGAACTTATTGGAAAAACAGTAGAAAACAATAGTAATGAAAAATCAAGACAATACAAAGGAAAAACAAAACTTCCCTTTGCATCATGAGATTTCTTTGGGTGGCTTGTTGGAATAAAGGAATTTGTTGTACAGAGAGAGAGGAGGAGATTTTTTTTTCAAAGTCAATGCCATTATATTTTTAATACAGTAATTAGAAATCTAAACATCTATACTTTGTGGTAAGCAAGATTTATATTGAGGACGAGCCCGAGAAATCTGAGAAATCACAGTTTAAAAACAAAGTAGTGCAGCAGTATTTTCCCATCTGTGGACCCTGCGTTTTCTTCTTCAGTGGAACTTTCCCCTGCTGATGTTCACCTGGAAGATCGCCCCGGCTCTGTGCTGCGGCAACACCGTGGTGATTAAGCCGGCGGAGCAGACTCCGCTCAGCGCGCTCTACATGGGGGCCCTGATCAAAGAGGTAGGACGGTGACCTCCGGAGCCCTGGCGCCCTTCCCCTTGAGCCGTTTGTGGTGCCCATCTGACGGGGTGTGGCAAGGTTTGAGAGACACAGCTCCTCCTATTCTGCTTTTCTTTTTTAGGCTGGCTTTCCACCTGGAGTGATCAATATTCTGCCAGGGTATGGGCCCACAGCTGGCGCAGCGATTGCTTCTCACATTGGCATAGACAAGATTGCATTTACGGGCTCCACAGAGGTAGGCACTGGAGGAAGCAGGAGCTGAACAGTCCTGCCAAGGAGAATGCATAAAATTGTCCCCTCTGCTAGACACCAGTAGGGCAGGAAGGTCCAGCGCTCGGGGGCTGACCAGGGCTCTCAGGGGTGGAACAGGAGAATGTGAAAGCCAAGCGCACATTGACTTTTGCATGTCAACAGATCCCTAGGCATTTCTGTGATACTGTCTGTGTAGAAACTGTTCCAGGAGCTGGGGCTCTGGGCACTGTTTTGAGTCAAGAATATACAGCAAAAGCAAGTTAAGAAGCTTGAAATCTAAACTAGCCTCTGGCACAGAGGAGAATGGAGACACAACTTTCCCTTTTCATGGTTTTCACAGGTCCTGTAGATGCAGGTGGCAGTTAACTCTGCCCAGGAGCCATAAGGGATGATAGAGCAGGCCAGCCAGCTTTCAGCCAACACCCAGCAGTAAATGTTGGAGACAGCAGGTGCTGTGGCCTCTGTGGCTGGCAGTCAACTGTGGCCTGCTAGCACCCAGCAGTCCTAGATAATACACAAACTGAATGTGTCTGTATGCCAATAAAACTTTATTGATAGGCACTGAAATTTGAATTTAAGGTAATGTTTACAAATGAAAAAATATCGATCTTTTTCTTTTTTCCAGCTATTTAAAAATATGAATGTTGTGTTTAGCTCACAGGCCATACCAAAGTGGGCATCAGTCTACAAATCCCTGACACAGAGTCCCAAGTCTGCTTAAGGGAAATTATAAATTGGTGCTCCAATATGCCTTTGATTCAGGTAGCAATGATACAACATAGAGTTTGACCTACTGTTTTGAGCAGAGGCTCACAGATGACAGTACTGTTAGTGAAGGATGTCTGCAGGTCTACACAGTGCTACCCAACAGGAAGAGAATGAAAGCAACATTTGCCATTTAAATAAGCTAGTAGCCACATTTCTTGGTAAAAGGAATGGGTGAAATTAATTTTAATGCTGTACTTAATTTAATCCAGTATTTCAAAAATCTTATTTAAACGCATTATCAATATAGAAATTATTAGCACAGTGTTTTGCATTCTCTTGCTCATATGAAGTCTCTGAGGTGTGTGGTATGTGTGTTATGTTTTCATCCATGTCTCAGGTGTCTGTAGCCACAGGTAGCCAGTGGCCACCACCTTGGACCGTGCAGGTCTGGAAACTTATAATATCCATTGATATAGAGTTAATGATACTGGTTTAAACTCACTCATGTTAATTTCATTAAAAAGCTCATAAAACATTGATCAATAGACTTGAATATTAATTTACAGGTTATTGAGCTTTATATTTGTAAAGAGTTAATCTTGTTTCTAGAACTTTTATCTTAGTAGTTGTCACAGTAATATTGTATTTTAATTATATGAACTGAAATGTGAGTATGACAGGAATTACTTGCATAAACTAAGTTCAGCGCGTCAAACATATTTTCTAAGGGCTGGATGCTTGAAGAAACTGCATCCTATGAGGAGTGGGCAAGACAATTGTAAAAGATTGGGGGGGGGACAAATCTAAGTAGAGTGTTATCTGTATTGCTTTGCACATAATTTTATTCCCCACTCCACTTGAAGAAACTGAAACAAGAAATCTGAAGCTGTATTTTAGAGGTGGGATTTTTTTTTTCTAAAAAGAACAAGGGAACCCATAATTAAAGTCCTTGATTCTATATCAAAAGACTGAAGAATGAATATATGTATTTTTCAAATTTAAATGAAATATTTAAGGTGTCTTCTCTTTTAATCTTTTTTTTTTTCTGTTAACTTACTGAGTCAGGTAAAAGGCTTCTACTCTTTCTTAATTAAAAATATTTCACTAAAACTGACAGCACAGCATATAAAATGAGGTATAATACTTTGCTGTGTCAATACTGTTGAGTTCCTTCATTCTTAATAGCTCTGTAGAATACTCCTGTATCAGTAGATCATACTTTAATCCTCCATTAAGTACATTTTGATCCTTCTTTCTCTTTCTTTTCTTTCTTTCTTTCCTTCTTTCTTTCTTTCTTTCCTTCTCTCTCTCTCTCTCTCTCTCTCTCTCTCTCTCTCTCTCTCTCTCTCTCTCTCTCTTTCTTCCTGCCTGCTACACAGACTACTGAAATAAAAACTTTTGGGGATCTAAGGAAATTTTATTGTTAGGTATGTTTCTATAAATTGAATCACAAAATAAAACGATATTTATCTTTTAACTTGTTAAGAATGCATTGGGATGATGATGTCATTTCATTTACAAGATCTCTTTATATGTTAATTACATTAATCTTAGGTTTGTTGTAGAATTTTAAAATATTATTATCAGTTTATTTTTTGCTTTTTAATGTTTTAAAAGAGTTGTTTTCTCTGCACAGGTTTTAAACTTCTGTAGTATGTCCCTGTCTAGTCTTTCTGTTGATAGTTTCTGAGTTTCCTGCCCTCTTTCAAGAAATCTCTTCAGTATTACATGTATCGTTCTTAACATTTTCTTTCAGTGCTTTCATGATTTTGTTTTGGTCTAAATCTTTAATCTGGTTGGAATTCATTTGAATGTCTAATGGAAGGTGAGGGCTAAGCCAATTATTTCAATAAATTAGTGATCAGTTACTTCAATATCATTTATTAAACAGTGTATCCCTTTGTAACTCATTTGAATACAACATAACATGATAAATTTCCATATATACATGTTTCTGTTTTAGGACTCATCATTTTATTTGTCTGTTCTTTCATTGTTACTGGACTGCTTTGATTCCTAGGTCTAATATATTTTGCAATATGGTAGGCAAGACAAACTCATAATTGGTTTTTCCAAATCGTTTGGCTTATCTTACCCTTTATACCTTTTGCTTGAGATTTCAAGTTGATTTTCTAAGCCACTTGCCTTCCTCCAAGAACTCTCAATGGGAGTTTGATTGACATTGTGTTTATGTCCACCTTACCTTGAAGGAACCACTTCACCATATGGACTTCTCATTTAGGAGCATGACACACCCCTCTTCAGTTATTTGTCCTATAATGTTCATGATGTCATCATACAGGTTTCAGACATTCTTTTGGTAAATTAATTTCTAGGCTTTAAATATTTTCTTCTAAAAACTGAGCACCTTTGTTTTAAGTCACAGCATCACATAGCAGAAAGTTATCCATTATATTCTTCAATAATCAATGGAACCTCATTTTTCAGATCTGACAAAAAGTTGCATAATAAGTTAGTAAGAACAAAAGGAATTGTCAAAGCTCTTCAGTTCAAATCTCTATTTAATCACTAAAGGTCTTTTAAAAAACATTTAAAATGACTTTACTAAAGTATACTGTATGTAGAGTAAAACATCCATCTAAGTACTCAGTATACACACCCATGTAACTACCACCTAAATCAGGATATACGTAATATTTCCATACCCTAAAAAGACTTCTCATGTCTCTTTGTGGATAACACCCTTGGCTCCAGGCAATCACTGATCTGTTTTATTAATTTTGCCTTGCTAGACTTTTATACAAATACAACAATAAAGTGCTACTCCTCCTGTGTCTTTTGTGTGTGTTTTATTTTTGTTGCTGTTTTCAAATCTAATGTATTATTGATATGATTAAGTTTCAGTGCTCCATCTTGATCTGCATTTTCTCTTTGTCCCATCTGATTTTGGGGACCCTCTTTTTCTGCCCTTCTGGGTGAATGGACTAGTTTTGATACTGCATTTTATCTTCTACAAGTGACTGCTTTGGTGTCTGCACTGTGCCTCCTGGTCACAGTTGATCATTCAGTATCATACACCTCCGTATGTCATGCAATGACCGTACAGTTCCTTTTGTTCCTCACCAAGTTTCTTCTACTCTTGTCTCCTAATTTACTTTTGTATATCATGTATGCCCCAAAACATATTTCTACTATTATTGTTCTTAAAATTCCATTACCATTTTAAAAGGTTTTTAAATGAGAAAAATTATTTTCCAGTTACTGACCTAATAGCCCTGTTTGGGGGTAGAGGCCCTATTTCATTTGTTACCATTTTCTCTGTAAAAATCTTTTACATTTCTTACAGTATATGTCAACTAGTGGTGAATTCTCTTAGTTTCTCTTTGTCTGAAGATGTCTTTAAATTGTCTTAAGTCTTTTAATAACGTTTTTTCTGGATACAGTATGGTAATTTGGCAGCTTTTGCTTTACTTTGTTTCAAGACAAGAAAGCTGCCCTTCTGTGTTCTCCTGACTTGCGCAGCCTCTCATGAGATTCCTATGGTCACTTATCTTTGTTTCACTGCACATAATGTTTCTTTTTTTCTCACTTTTAAGGTCATCTCTTTTTACTGGTTCTCAGAAATTTTGTTTTTTGTGTAGTTGTTTTTTCCTGATTGTTTGAGGTTTATTAAAATTTGGAGATCTGTGAGTTTATGGTTATCAAGTTTGGAAGCACTGTTACATTATTTCTCCAAATATATTTTGCATTTACTTCCTGTTCCCAGTTACATATATGTTAAATCATTGACATTATCTCCAGGTCACCGGTGCCTTTTCATTTATTCCGTCTTCTCTTTGTGCTTCAGTCTAGATGGTTTCGATGTCTCAGAGTTCCCTGATGTTTGCTAGTACTTAATCTGCCTCAGATGTTACGTTTTTAAATTCTAGAAATTCTGCGAGTTCTTTTTTATAAATTAGATTTCTTCCTTCATTCTCCTCTTGTTTTCCTGCTAATTTGTGGGCATATTTCTAATACCTGTTTTAACATCCTTTTCTGTTCATTTTAATACCTGTGTCATTTCTGGATCTGTGTCTGTTGACTGATTTTTTCCTAGATATGCTTTTCTTCATTTCTAATAATTTTTGGCTAGATCCTGAACACTGGGACTATTACACTGTTGACCTCTTGGTTTCTTGACTGGCAGTTAAGCTATTTGATGTTCAGCTTAATTCTCCCAAATCTTATCTTCAAGCTGTCTTAGAGCTAGTTTGTCTTTATTACTAACTTGACGTCTTTCTGGGGTTTATACTTAATACCTGCAGGGTTTAACAG